CCAAAAAGTGCAAGAACTTACACCGCAACGGAAAGAAAATAGACTCAAAAGGGCTAAAGAGTTGCTTCGCTTGGCCAAAAGTGGTGAACTGCCGAATTTGGTTTTCTCCGATGAGAAAACATTCGTTGTCCAGCAGTTTGTAAACAAACAAAATGATCGCGTTTACTTGCCAAAGAGGTCAGCTGAAAATGTTGGCCACCAGAACTCAAGCGTCGGCCATGGTGATGGTGTGGGCCGTCATAACAGCCGATGGTCGCTCTCCGCTCGTATTAATCGACAGTGGCATAAGATTAAATACCGAATATTATCGCGAAAATATTCCGGTGGGCCGCACACCTTGGACATTCCAACAGGACTCAGCACCATCGCACTTAGAACTCGCCACCCAAGAATGGTTACAAAATGAGGTTCCTCGCTTCATTTCCAGCGCACAAAGGCCACCAAAATCTCCGGATACCAATCCGTTGGACTATTGTGTCGGGAGTATTTTGGAAAGCAAGGTTGGCACTAACAAATACCAAAGTGTCGATCACCTCAAGCAAGCGCTTCGCCGGGAATGGGCCAAAATACCGCAGAGCAACATTCGGGCAACGTGTGACTTTTTCATTGGCCGTTTGAAGGCCATAATTCGTGCCAAAGTTGACCAATTCGAACTAATCTAAACTTATTCTAAAGTTTAATGCTATTTCCGACATTTTTTGCTTTCATTCAATAAAATTAAAAAAATGTAAAATTATGTCTTTTGACTTTGTTCCAGTTTTTTTTATCTCACTCTTCACATACTTTGTTAGTCTAAAATTATTATTTCGATGAGTTACAAATGGAATGACGAACTTAATATACCCTCCATACTTTGTATGGTGGAGGGTATAAAAATAAATAAAATCTCCAAAATATCCATGGCATAAGAATAATAATAACTACGTCATGATAATATCGAAACTCAGGAGTTGCCGTAAACCGGGGTTTGACCGGTCTATTGACTCTAAATATATTCTGAAAAATTCAATACATTTTTTTTTTCTTAAGCTGTCAATTTTTAATTGGGATTTTTTAAATTTTTTGTATTGCTTTCATTCATCGATGACATATGCTCTGCGGAAAAAACTCAAATAAATATTAATTGAATGTGATGAAACATATGTGAACTCTATTATTTTTTTATTACTTACGGCCTGTTTCTGTATGACGATACGACATTTGAATGCAAAATATCAATAACACTTCAAATTTGTTTTTATTTTTTTTTTTATTTAAATTCTGAAAAAAATCATTGGAATAGTTTTTTTTCGCATTCGCATTTCGTATCGTTAGCCACAAATGGGGGTTTTAATGTTTGAAACATTGTACAAGACATGTTGCCCTATTTTATTTTCTCAAGAGCCAAACACAAACGTTTCAAGAGAAGGGATCTAATGACCTATTTATGTATAGCGAAAGAAAATGTATGCAAACGAAAAATACCAATTCTATGTGTTGGTCTGTTCAACAACATCAATGATATGATATCGGAGAAAATTCCAAAACTAGAAGATTCTTGCAGGTTCTGGAACATACCATGTGTTTTCAAAATGTTTTGTATTAAACGCAACTTTGGAAAACATAACCGGCATTGAATTTCCTAAGTTAATAAGTAGCAAGTAAAAAACACGTCAAGTTGAGAAGGTCCCAACTGTTGACAATATCGGTCCACTCCTTCAAGTACCTCCCACACAAAGGGTCAACATTTTGAATATTTATAACTTTTATAAAATTTGATGTAATAGTCCGATTATATTCAAAGTACACACATCACATTATTTCTACTACCACAAGATCTGCTGTGAAGATGGGATATATCGGTGCACTCCTTCAGGTACCTCCCCCACAGAGGGTCAACATTTTTTATCTCCATGAAGCTCAATATACGCCAACTCCTTCGGAACCTCCCCCATAAAGGGTCAACAGTTTCAATAATCATAACTCAAGGCTGGGGGGTATAAATCTGTCGGCAAAACTGTTCTATACTATTTTACTCGTTTGGTCAAATATTTGATTTGAATATATCTAAAAATGCAGCAATTTATTTGTATTCTAATTTTTTTAGGCAAGATTCTTTTAAAGTAAATTATATTTCAATTTCGTTCGCACTTTATTTTTTCCCGAAACTTCCTGCCCTTGATTCCCATTCACCCATTCAAAATTGAAAAACATTTTTCACTCAGTTGTATTCCCCACCTCCCATATGATAGACAGCTTGTACCCAAAGCACTTATTTTATTTCCCAATTCCGGTTTCGATAACATCGTACAAGAAAAGTTGTGGCCCCATAAATGAATCATTCTCCGTCTCATCAGAGAAGTTTCAAAAGTGTGCCTAGGCGGAAAAAGGCCCAAAAAGTATCTTTACAGACACGAAACCACCGCATAATCCACAACAATAAAATTCATATTTAAATAACAGATAATTTTTGTTAATAATTGTTTTTTGTTGTTGCTCAATAAGAATTTTATTATGCAAAATATGAAATTAAATATAGCGCACAGCAAAAAGTATATAAAATGGGCCAGACTGCAGCAAAGAGGGAGAATATTTTGAAAATATAAAAAGTTACAATTGAAACAATTGTCTAAAGAATGCTTTAATGGGCTGATAAGAAATGATATTGAAAAATGATTCATAGTTCCGCCAGAAGCTTTTCTTGTTGTTTTTAAGTCATTCCGAATACCCATCTAGAAAATGTTACGGAACAAAAAACAGTTAAAGTGGCGGTTTGAGGAAAAATATATTGAAAATTGTGTATGTCGGTCAAGACCTACACAAGGTCGGCCAAGACATGGTACAATAAGGAGGTAGAACAGCTTCGTAAAATTACAGAAATACAGTCCTGAGACTATGCCCGCTTCCTGTCAGAATTATTCAAAATTATCGGCAACAAGTGGTTTTCACTTATTCGATATTTTTTTGTTCATTTCTAAAATAGCGCGAAATATGAATGAAATGCCTGGATGTTCTCGCAAGAATATGTTCCTAAGTGTACAATCTTTCAATTCCATGGCAAACCTGGTTAATATTATTAATGCGCGCCCCGCAATTTAAGTTTCTTCCAATCATTGATTTTGAATATATTTTGTTTTTATTTTTCAAAGCAACAAATACACACTCAGAATTGGCAGAAGTCGGGCACACTTAGAAAAAAAATCACAATATGTCATTTGAATGCAAACTTAGTTTTCAAAAGGGCTTACTTTCCTACCTCATATAGGCCATGTGTTGAACTTTCGTTTGCTATAGCCCCAATTCATCCTTTCCCGACTTTAGGTATTTAAAAGGGTTTTGACAACATTTTCAAACGAAATTCAATTTGATTTACTATTCAAACTTCCCATTGAATATATGTTTGACAATAATTTTACGATGTACCAAGTTTGGATCAAATCGGATACTCCTTTCGAGAGTTACTGGCATATACTGCAGTTCCTATTATCCAGCCAGATAGACAGACAGTCTGGCGGACGGACATCGCTAGATCGACTCCAAATGTCCTGAAAGGGATTTGGTCCAAATTTCGATGAGGCACGTTTTGGCTGTATCAAATTATATACACCCTCCCTCTGTAGCCATATGGCTGAGGGACGATCTTTGAGAATCCTCCACCATTTGGAACGAATTTGGAAATTTTCAAAAAAATAAAATCCGTTTAACATCCTTTAAAAATCTTAAAAATGCCGAATATAGCTGTTATATTAGGGTATATACAAAGACGTGGACTTGTAAAGGCAACTTTTGTGGACTTTGGAACGAATTTGGAAATTTTCAAAAAAAATAAAATCCGTTTAACATTCTGTTAAAATCTTAAAAATAGCTGTTATATTAGGGTCTATACGAAGACGTGGACCTGTATAGGCAACTTTTGTGTTAAGCCGTTACAATATTGAAATACGAAACTTGAAAAAATACGGTGAATAATGTACCTAAAATCATCAAGACCTGGGCCTGCAAAGACATTTTTCTGTCATGTGCGCCTTTGAATGGGGGATATACGACAGCGTAGACCATTACAATTTTCTTTTAGGTGGTAAAGTAGTCACGAGGAACTCCTTGTTTAGAACTTCAGACCATTCCATTGAAAATTATGGTTAAAATCATCAAAATACCGAATATCGGGAGGTACAGTCATATTGGTGTTTATACGTACGATATCGTGGACCTATATAAACAATTATCTTCCAGAGGGTTAAGTGCTCAGAAAGAACTCCTTGTGTGTATTTTCAGAAAATTGCATTTTAAAATGTGGCTAAAATCATCAAAATACCGAATATCGGGGGTACGATTGTATGGGGGCTATACGATATCGTGAGCCTATATAAACAATTCTCTTCCAGGGGGTATAGTACACAGAAGGAACTCCTTGCGTAATATTTCAGACAATTCCATTTTAAAATGTGGCTAAAATAATCAAAATACCGAATATCGGCCTACCTATACGATATCGTGGGCCTATATAAACAATTCTCTTCCAGGTGGTAAAGTAGCCACGAGGAACTCCTTGTGTAGAATTTCAGACAATTCCATTAAAAAATGCGACTAAAATCTTCAATATACCGAATATCGGGGGGTACAGTTATATGGGGGATATACGATATCGTGAACCGATATAGCCCATCTTCGAACTTGACCTGCCTGCAGGCATATAACGGAACGAATCGTTTATGCTCAAGTAGAAGATTTTATTTTCTCCAAGAAAATAATTTTTTTCTTTTATGAAACTACCGCTTTTTATTTTCGGACAGCCACAGCATATTTCATTTCCAAAAATAGTACTAATTTAAGTAAACGAACCTTTAATCTTATCAAAATATCTTAAAATTTTATCTGCATCCTACCCCCACCACCATCAATGCAAACACTTTTTTAGATGAAGATATAAAATCTCATAGGCATTTGAAAGAAAAAAGTCCCCACACCCAAACCTTAAATTCATTTGGAATTCAATTTTAATTACAATTTTCTGTTTGCAGGTTAAACACCGGAGAACACAACATACGCCACACTTTCAACATCGCTTCCGTTAAGAAAACAATGAGATATGGCTGTTGACACCTTAGATGACGTCGATCCGAAATATGGTAAAAAATTATCCTACGAACGCAATTTCAAAGCACCGCTATGGCGTAAACGATCCTGCACTGATGTACCCTGCCTTTTGGTGTTTCTAGTCTTCCTGGGCGCTTGGGCCTTTGTGGCTCAGTATGCCTTTCGCAATGGTGACTTGAATAAATTGGTTGTGCCCACAGATTCGTTTAACAAGAAATGTGGCATCGATTCGGGTGTGTTGGACAAGAAATATTTATTCTTTTTCAATTTGGATAAATGTTTGGATCCCTTGGTGCCCATTACCGGTTGCCCAACACCACAAATTTGTGTAAATCAATGTCCCCAGGAGACATTCATATGGGATGTTATGAAAAATCAAATGTCCGAGGCGGATTTGAAGTCACGCATGATTTGTATTACGGAGGCGGATAAGAATGCGCTGCGGACCAAAGATGATATGCAAAAGGCCATCAATGCAGAACGCTGTGCCAGATGGTACATCAAAAGTGCTCCCTTTCTGAATCGCTGCATATGGGAGTTTTCGCAAAAGACATGTGAATACATTCCAAAGTTCCTGTTGCAACGTAGTGCCAGAGATGTTTCCCATGTCCTTGCCAATGCGACGACCAATTTTGATGTCAGCAATGAGGACCAATTACAGGCCTTGGCCTTAACAATGTTTCCCCAAGCTCAACCCTTAGTTGCCAAAATGAATGTTGACCCCAAGCTAACGGCAGTGAATGAGGAATCGAATAGTCAGTGTAATCGTCGTGAGACTGTAATCAAAGAGAAAATGATGCAAACCGATACCAGGCTTGCCAAATTTATTGGCAACATCATTATACACTTCACCAACGGCACACACGAGGCACAGCGTGTGGGTGAGAATGTTGTTGAGGATATTTTCAATTCGTATTTGGTGATATTGACAGCTATGCTATGTACCCTCATAGCTACATTTATTTTTATCGCCTTGATGCGTTGGCTAGCTGCTCCCTTCCTTTGGACTTCAATATTTGGGGTACTGGTTGGTTTAGCTGTTGGCATTTACTATTCCATCAAAAAATATACATTCTATCATCGAGAGGCAACGGTGCCACAACATTCGTTGAATCTAAATTCAGCTGTCAAAAATATACTGCAGGTGAGTAGTAAATGGGGATTATGCCACTGTTAAATGAAGTGTTTATCTATCGGGTTAGATGATGCTCTGTGTTCTCATAGATGTTGTCCAAAAGGTCTTCGAGTGGAGTAACTACAATTCAGTGTACTTACATCCCCGGTACATCCAATTTGGGACTTCGCTACGTTAGAGCAAAAATACTGATTCCATAGCAATCATTATACCCTCAGGCTAGAGAGGGTATAAATCATTTAATACGGCCAAAACGTGCCTCATCGAAATAACGAATTTATACCCTAGGACTCTTTGGACCAAATCCGTTTCAGGACATTTGGAGTCGATCTAGCGATGTCTGTCCTTCGGTCTGTCTGGCTGTTGCGCACGATAACTCTCGAATGGAGTTTCCGATTTGATCCAAATTTGGTACATTGTAATATTATTATCAAACTTAGATCGAGTTCGAAGATCGGCAATATCGACTCACTCCTTCTGGTACCTCCCTCGCAAAATATCAATATTTTTAATGAAAATAATTTACTACACAGAAAGTGGAAGGATAATCCAATTTTTCTCCCTCTTTCTAATACTTGCATCAGTGCTGGGTCATTTGCGAAAATTCACAATATCGGTATACTCGGTCAAGTACCTCCCCCTCAAAAAGTCTAAATTTTGAATAATTATAACTCTTATAAAATGCGACGTAAGAGTCCGATTGTCTCCAAATTACACACATAAAAATATTTTTAATTACCCAAGGTCTGGTGTGAGGAAGGGATATATCGGTCCACTCCTTCTGGTACCTCCCCGATTACCTTCAGACTTGGCACATCTCAATATTTCCATTAACACAAGATCTGTTATGAAGAAGGTAGAGATCGGACTATTTCTTCTGGTAACTCCCCCCTCAAAGGGTCAAAGTTTTGAATAACCAAAACAATCATAAAATCCAAAATAAGGATCCGGTTCTCTTCAAATTACACACATCACAATATTTTTATTAACCCAAGGTCTGGCGTGAAGATGGAAGGTCTGGCGTGAAGATGGAATATATCGGCCCACTCCTTCTGGTACCTCCCCCACAAAGGGTCAAAATTTTGAAAATTCGTGAAGCTCATAAAACGCGAAATTTACATCCGATTCCATTCACACTTGGCACCTCTCAATATTTTCATTAACACAAGATCTGATATGAAGAAGGTAGAGATCGAACCATTCCTTCTGGAACTTCCCCCACAAAGGGCCAAACTTTTGAATAACCAAAAACGATCACAAAATCCGAAATATGCATCCGGTTCTCTTCAAATTACGCACATCACAATATTTTTATTAACCCAAGGTCTGGCGTGAAGATGGGATATATTGGTCCACTTCTTCTGGTACCTCCCCCACAAAGGGTCAAAATTTTGAGAATCCATGGAGCTCATAAAACGCGAAATTAACATCAAATTCCATTCAGATTTGGTACAACTCAATATTTCCATTAACACAAGATCTGCTATAAAGATGGTAGAGATCGGACCATTCCATCTGGTACCTCCCCCACAAAGGGTGAAAGTTTTGAATAACCAAAACGATCATAAAATCCGAAATAAGCATCCGGTTCTCTTCAAATTACACACATCACAATATTTTTATTAACCCAAGGTCTGGCGTGAAGATGGAATATATCGGCCCACTCCTTCTGGTACCTCCCCCACAAAGGGTCAAAATTTTGAGTAACCATGGAGCATAAAACGAGAAATTAACATCAAATTCCATTCAGATTTGGTACAACTCAATATTTCCATCAACACAAGATCTGCTATAAAGATGGTAGAGATCGGATCCTTTCTTCTGGTACCTCCCCCACAAAGGATAAAAGTTTTGAATAACCAAAAACGATCATAAATCCAAAATAAGCATCTAAGTCTCAAATTTTACCAATATTTTATCTGTATTAGATGAAGTACGAAAATGGAGTATTTCAGTCCGCTATATCTGGTACCTCACTCTCCAAAAATTTGCACATACCTCATATAAAGTATAGGAAGTAATCGATATAGTCCAAAACTGGCATGTTTTAATATTTATATCAGTCTTAGGTCAGATAAGAATTGGTCAATATTGGCCAAATGATTCGTAACCTCCCCCATTAAGGGTGAACAGTAATCATAACTCAAGACGAAAGTTTACATCTGTCGGAGACCCCGATTTGTTTCGAAAGGCTTTTCTGCCTACATCGACGGATGCTATACCAAAATTTGGATCTAAAATTTCCTTGGCGTCGGTGATAGCATCCAAATATCTGTACCGAGTAATTTTAGGTATTTTCATCATTGCTTCATAGTTTCACCAGGCCTAACATATGCGGAATTTTCTTGTGTTCTTGGTGTTCAGGTGAAAGTCCCTGTTTATTTCATGCTTAAGAAAACAACAACTCGCTTTCTTTTAACTTATCAACATCTAAATAATTGTTCCCCTTTTTCTTTCTCTCTTTCAGGATGAACGTTTATGGCTTTACCTAAGCATATTCCTTTGCGTTTTCCTTGTCATACTCATTCTATTGCTCATAGTACTGCGTAGCCGGATTAGCATAGCCGTAGCCCTTATCAAAGAGGGCAGCAAAGCTGTGTCCAGTGTCAAATCCACCGTCTTCTTTCCCATCTTTGTATGGATACTCTTTATAGCGGCAATTGTGTATGCTGTTGGCGTTGGTCTGTATTTGGGTTCGATTGGCAAGAACTCATTCCGTATGATAAGACAATTGGATGCGAACAGCCTAACTGGAGTCTCACAAGAGAATTGCATATGCGATGGACCAGCCGTGAATTATACAGTGGGAGCAGCATGTGATCCAACAACATTTGAGCAAAATTGTTACATTGGCGATACAACACTTTTTGGTGCATTCCGTCAAAGCCAAAGGTCACCCTGTGTCAAGACAATGTGCAGTTTCGTGGAAGTTGAACACACCACACTGGTCAATTGGTTTATTGTGTTCAATGTATTTGGGTACCTTTGGCTGACTTTTTTCATAGATGGCTTCAGCGATATGGTCTTGGCCTGTACATTTGCCACATGGTATTGGACATTTAAGAAGAAGGATGTACCATTCTTTACCCTGACAAAATCAATCTTCCAAACAACATTTTATCATTTGGGCACATTGGCTTTTGGTTCCCTTATCCTGGCCATATGTCGCTTGATCCGCCTGATATTGGAGTACATTGATCGGAAATTGAAAAAATATGACAATGCCTTGACCCGAGCCATATTGTGCTGTATGAAATGTTTCTTTTGGTTGCTGGAATCATTTTTGAGATTTTTAAGCAAAAATGCCTACATCATGTGTGCCATTCATGGCAAGAACTTTTGCAGCAGTGCCAAAGATGCATTCAATTTGACAATGCGCAACTTCCTGCGCGTCGTAACCCTGGATAAAGTTACCGACTTTTTGTTCTTCATGTCAAAGTTATTGATAACCGGAGCAGCTGGCGTAGCTACTTATTTCTTTTTGTTAAATAATCCATCCATTGTTCAACTGCATTACAATGCTGTGCCCACAGCAATTGTGGCTATCTTGGCTTTCCTAATAACCACGGTCTTCTTCAGTGTCTACTCAATGGCGGTGGACACACTGTTCCTGTGCTTCCTTGAAGACATTGAACGCCATGATGGTTCACCAGAAAAACCCTACTACATGTCCAAACAGCTAATGAAAATTTTGGGCAAACGTAACAAAACACCCAAAAGGACAGCCTAAAATGACGCTGTGAAGAGAGAGAGAACTAAAATTGAGAAAAAATAAACAGAAACTGTATGGAACGAAATGGTGCTGCTACATATGTAACAAAGCTCCTCTAAGGAGTTGTACATGTGTACAAATGTTTCGAATAGAAAACCCCCCAATATTCTGCATGAGACGGAAATAAAAGACAATTTTAGAGTTGCAATATATACATCGCATATATTACTTTTAACTATCACACCTGAAGAAAGATTAAATTAATCTCGTTGTATGGAAATGGTACTGGAAAACAAATGACTGGAATGCCTTTATAAAGAGTCGCTCTAAAGGAAAAACAAACAAACAGCAAATATATACAATATTCTTACCAAGCATATACAACCAACAACAATACTTACGAAATATTATACCGTACCAATATAAAATATAAGTTGTTTTTTTTTTTAATTACCTTAGTACGTAGTTTATATGTATAAGTTCATAAAACAAAAAAACAAAGTTTCCCAAGAAACACCTGAAATATAAGCAATACCACTGAAATTATAATTATATTTAATTACTACATAGATTGCATGCCAAATTATGTTTTTTTTAATTAAGATTTAATATATATGTAATTCAAAAAAAAAACGAAATTATTTAATATCAACAAATATTTATTGAAAATTAAAAATATATATTTATATATTATTATGTTCAGAAAACACATATTTAATTATGAGTCTTAAATTCTAAATTTATGTATTTTGAAATTTCACTACGATTCGATGAAAATAAAGATTACCTACTATTTGTGCTCAAATGAAATTAAATTGATATGTTAATTTTTATTTGTTTAGTTTTCAAGCTATAAATCACTATGAAATATTTATCAGAGGCTTCATAATCAGTTTAAAATTCTTTGTCGATTTAGGCATATCAGTCTGTCTCTAGTGTTCCTCCAGACCAGTCTTTTCTTAGTGTTCCTTTTTTCGAGGGTATACAGAGTGAGATAAAAAAAAACTGCAACAAAGTCAAACGCCATAATTTTGACATTTTTTTTAAATTTTATTGAATGAAAGCAAAACATGTCGGAAATAACATCAAATTTTAGATTAAGTTTAGATTTGTTCGAATTGGTCACCTTTGGAACGAATTATGGTCTTCAGACGGCCAATAAAACCGTCAACCGCTGCCCGAATGTTGCTCTGCGGTATTTTGGCCCATTCCTGGTAAAGCGCTTGCTTGAGGTGATCGACACTTTGTTATTTTTTAGTGCCAACCTTGCTTTCCAAAATACTTCAGACATAATAGTTCAACAGATTGGGGGTCATTGTGCGCTGGAAATGAAGCGAGGAACCTCATTTTGTAACCATTCTTGGGTGGCGCGTACTAAATGCGATGGTGCTGAGTCCTGTTGGAATGTCCAAGGTCTGCGGACAAAATGTTTGCGTGACCAAGGCTTTAATACACCCTCCAGAATATATTCCCACCACCGATTAATACGGGCGGAGAGCGACTATGGGCTGGTATGGAGGCCCACACCATCACCATGGCCGGCGTTTGAGTTCTGGTGGCCAACCGAAGGTGTACATTTTTAGCTGACCTCTTTGGCAAGTAAACACGATCATTTTGTTTCTTTACAAACTGCTGGACAACGAATGTTTTATCATCGGAGACGAAGAAAACCAAATTCGGCAGTTCACCACTTTCGGCCAAGCGACGCAACTCTTTAACTCTTTTGAGTCTATTTTCTTTCTGTTGCGGTGAAAGTTTTTCCACTTTTTGGAATTTTAATGGCTTTACCCCGAGATCATTTTTCAATATTTGCCGAATGGAATATTGCGATATGTTCAGCTCAAGTGCCATTTTTCGGCCACTGTGAAGCGGGTTTTGATCAAGTCGCTTCTTTACTTTTCGAACCATTTCTGCTGATGTTGCTGGACACAAAAGACTTATTTACATTTAAATGCTGGAGTGCTCTAACTATAGGCACTTGTGATTTCCCAGCCAAATATAAAAAAATCATGAGTTCCATCACGAATAACTTTTTTCTGGAAAGTTCTCACCAAAATGCTTTTGTACGTCTGTAAACAATATAATGAGCTGGTACTGGAATAATTTTAACAGCTGTCGGACAAGTGGCTTAGAAATGGCAGCAGTCTGAAGTTGGTTGCAGTTTTTTCAGCTCACCCTGCAATTTTGCATTTCAACGCAAAACAACCTTTAGAGTCGATAAAACCGTGCTTGGAAGGAAACGAGACGTTTAGTATCGATAAAGCTGTCTCCTTATGCTTGTTATTTTATCGTGGCGTATAACTTGAAATAACGAAAATAATTCTATCATATCCCATAGTGTGTGTGAAAAAGTTTTGGAATGAGATCAATATAAGTGAAAAGGATGCATGCATTTTAGAGAACAGCTTATTACTCTTGAACTTAATCTTCCAACACTTAAATACTCAATTTAGAAAGGTGAATTTTTTGAAACAGAGGATCGAAGAATTCTGTTACATTTAGCTCTTTTCCACAAAGCTCACGCACTTTGCGGCAAATTAGCAATTGAAAGATTACAACAGTTCTATCATCAAATACCAAAGCTATGGCAATTATTTTACGAACTGCTTAATCGATTTTTGCTACTAAACATCGATAAGTCAAAAGTCGACTTATATATCCCTCAAATGTTTGGCATTTGTAATTTCTCATTGTTCATTTCGAGGCAGTCTTTTACGAAAATGGCGCGTTTTTTTCTAGCTGAATATTGTGTTTGTGCGAAAGTACGGCTTGATTTAATCCCTTCCTGTAAAATCTTAAGAGGTACGTAAAATTGCAACAAAAAATTCTGATTTCGTCGAAAATTTAAATAAACATTTCTATATGATGATTCTGTGCAGGGGTACAGAACATGGCAAAATGTGGCCATGAAATGACCAACAAAAAGGAACAATGTGACTCGAGGTCAACTGCCATTGTTTCTTTGTTGTGTTCATTTTAGAAATTTGCATTACTGATGGAATTAACCTTCCCATACTCATATCCTCAAAATCCACTGTGTATTGTAATTAGTGTTTTATATTCTTTCAGAAAAGTAGAGGTGTGGCGCGGCCATACATTGGCATAAAGGAGGGCATCTTTTTTAAATGGCGTATTCCATGGTCTTGGAAATGGAGATGTTCTACAATCTTTTAGAAATGTGATGCCGCTATTGATTGCCACAAAGGCCTTCTTAAAATGATGCATGCCATCGTCTTGGAAACGGAATCCAACTACGGTACATATGGTATTTAATAAATATTGGTTTTAGGCTTGTTTTGTATTTCTGATGAAACTGTGCGCAGGGGAACGAGCCTGGCGACATGTGGCCAAGAAGTATTGCAACCGTGAAATCAATTGGACTTAAGGTCAAACAAACATTTGATTTCTGGCTGCACTCACTTTAATGATAAACACAACTGAAACAGTGCTGATCTTAATATTTATGTGTAAGATAAAACTGAAATTTCTAACTTTCCCAATTTTATTTTGCAGCAAGCAGCAATGCATCCAAAGGAGTGAGAGGCATTCGAAAACCATACCAGGACATTATTCAAAAATTAAATTTGGAAACGTAATCGGCGCGGAAGGAAAAAAATATACCAGCAGACAAACATGCTACGATCTTGCACATTCAATTTATAAGCATAATTAATGCTAGAATTTATTATTGAAATTAAATAAAACGAAATATCAAATGTCATTTATCTATTAAGTAGCTTAAATTGTTTCCCGGTTGAATGTTTTATTGATCTCGCTATGGAAATGAATGAAAAGTAAATTATATGTAAACTGCAAATTCCTAGATAAATGTTATTTATCAAAGGGAAGCTAGTACCACTGAGAGAGGAACTCTGAAATTATCCATTTTTGCAAAATTCAAGGTTGCGGTGATTAAATTTAGTCAATGTTAATCGATGCTGGAACTTTTACCTTCCGAGATTTCAATATAGCAGCTGATTTAGAATTTTTTTGGCACTAACGTTAGCCATGTAGAATTTAATGGTCAGTTTCTTTCCACAGATAGCACCACACCTAGGAAAATAAATGTAAGCTAGTCTCAACACCTGAAATTTATACAAAAGTCCTGTTCCTTTACGTCCACGCAAATAATTTATTTAAACTCGACATTCTAAAGCGCCTCTCCGCCTAAAACGCCATTTCTTTTATGTCATCCACTATATTGAAAATACTGTAGACATGATCTTACCTGCAGGAATCTTTAAGTTCTGCAATTTTTTACAAAAAAAAGTTCTCCTTCACCCAAAGTTAAAGGATAAACAAATTGTCTATCCCCTATTTTTGCTACTTTGATAATTTAAAGGTGTTTTCAATAATTTGGACTGTTTCCGAACTACAAAAATGTAAAACGATTTTCCCTTTATGATATCGAAAGTATTGTAAAAGAAGTCGTTTCTTTATTGAACTATCCATACATATTGCTCTGGTTGTTTCCCTCACTGCCTAACATTTTTTTTTAATGTTCCGCAATCCGCAGAAATCTACTAGTTTTGCCATTTTTTCAATGTCATAAAGGCAAAATCGGATATTATAATGATTCTTTTTACATTCTTGCCATTCTGGAATAGACCAAAGGTAAATTCAAACGATAACTTTTAACATTGCAAAGAAATTATTATCAAAATCTCGAATTGTTAAAAAAATCAGATTTGAATTGTATACATCTACCTTCTTGAATGCACCTTGGCCAAACCCATTTTCCAAAAATATCGATTTCTACAAAAAAAGTGGCAGTAGCATACTACGATCTTTGGGTCCCTATTCTTTGTACATTTCGATAACATTTATCGAAGGTGGCGCTTCATTTCTTTTATTATTTGAAAAAGATGGATCGCACAATTATTGCTCCTTACCGGGCGGAAGAAAAAGAGCTTTCCTTAATATTATACAACAAACTCCAAGGATTGGCGCAGCTGCATCCACCTACCGAAGATTTAAAAAAATGCTTATCCGACGAAATGTTTGTCAAGCCCAATCAACAGGCATTCTTCCAAGTCATGCACTACTTGTTTCGCCTACTCGATCCCAATGAATTTAGGAAACGGTTTTATTGGCCCATCACCGACAAAAGATCGGAGTCGAATTTTCGTACCAGCACCGTGGAATACTTGAAGTATTTGAACGAGAAACATCAATTGAATTGGACCCACATCAAGTCCTATCTGGTGGTAATGCCAGGCGGCATGAAGTTCATAAGCTTCCTGTTGGACTTTATTCATTTTATTGTACAGGAGTTGATAAAGCAAAAGGAGAAGCAATTAAATGTTGATTCAACACAATATCGAGACCTGGTAACAGATGAGAATTTACAGAAAATGTGTAAACAAGACACCCTGGCAAAGGAGATGGCATCCGAATTTCTTGCCAGCATTGACGTGATCAACAAACGTTACATGGAAAAGGTTCAATTGCTTAGTCAATATTTGGAGGAACTTGCTGGGGAGACAGATTTAAATGTGGATACTTTAATCGATGATAGATTTCTCATTGACTTTGAGGATAGCAATGCGGCACTGTTTGAGAAGCGTTTCATTGTCCGAACCCAAAACATTTTGGAGATGGAGCAACATGTTGTGGCGCTAAAGGAGAGCATGGACAGATTCTATTCCAAGGAAAGTGGTTTTAAATATGAGCCGCAAAAAGTTCGCCAACAATTGAGGAGTATACGTGACAATTTCGCAATGGAGAATTTGAGTGAAGGTAAGTATGGAAAGATGTCCTGACCCTGAAAGCCTTGTGAATGAAGATTTTTTAAATGGCATCACAGATTTTAAAAATATATCTAACTTCAATTTCTCTATGAAATTGTGTATTTTTAAGTTTTATTTTTGCATGCAAGAAATGCCTCCATATCTAATTCTCCTGCTACCTGCTTTCAGCTTCTATACTTTGCGATGATAGTGTCAACATAAACACCTTGATCAAGGCATTTAATAGTATCAATGAGACTGTACAGAATGAGTTATCCGCAGCCGACAAACGTCCTCGAGCTGGAATTGTAAAAACGAGGTTATCCGAAGTTGAAAAAGATCTGAGACAAATCGAAAATCAAATTACCGACTTTTTAATGGTAATTAAGTCCCGTAGAAAGAAACGCCATGATGATATACCACGTACACCGGTGCGACATAGTGTTGCCCATGCTAGTGGAGGAACACAATTTGGCAGTGCTAGACGTAACTTGGAGAATAACTTATTGTTGAAATATGTATCTACTCCACCGATAAAATTTGAAATGTCCGAAGGACAACATGGCCCTTCTCGGCTGTCTTTAATCGATTCTAAATCCAATGCAAACGCAAATGTCAGTACATTTAATAGCTTCCTAGGTAAATATTGTTGCTTTCGAGTATTACCATGCCAGAATAATGTTTATTTCCTTTTTTTTTTCCAGCTCCACCAAGAACCATACGCCAACCAAGACTTAATTGCAGCCTCGCGGATCAATCAAATGTGGATTTAAATTCGTCTATGAATCGTTCAAAATTAATAGATCCCATGCAATTGTTAAGATCCATTAACAAGGATAGTTCAAAAGTTGTGACCACACCGAAATCAAACATATCCGGATTGGGTAGCCGATGGAAGGAAAGACAATCATTGCTTGCCGACAGAGATGATGAAATTCCAACAATAATTGTTACAGATTCTCCCAATGGCTTTAAAACGCCTTGTACCAGCAAGGCGGATTCCACTACTATTGCTCGACGTCAATCTCTATTTTCCGATATGGCAGATATTTCAACCACTTCTACGGTAACCAAAAAATCATCATCTTTTGCTACCAGCAGTGGTTCGCCCACAATGGTACAGTCACCATTCACGCCATTCAATTCAAATGAACGCACACGCATTGCACGAACTTCTGGCCAAGTATGGGATAACAATTCCTATACCACAAGTGGCAATAATTCATCATCTACTTCGTGGTCTGGTATGAAGAAAATAGGCGCATTAAAGAAGGTGCAAGATGCCTCAATGAATTTTGCCAATCTTAGCACTAGCCCATCGGGACGTTTGGAACCATTGGTTACGGCACAGGATTTTAATATTCCAAAACTACAGCTAAATGATAATTCCATGATTGATCACAATGTCAGCTGCAATAATGTAAGTTTTGGGAACAAATTTCCGTAAGGACATCAGATAGGACTTACAGTCTTTTAGTCCTGATTGCACCAACATATAGTTTTTTCAAAAATCTAAACTCCTTTTTACTTTATTTAGAACTCATTAATTGGTGAACATTCAAATGACGATAACAGTTCGCAACGCTCCCCGTTCACAATGTTATTGGATAAGGAAGATGAAAATGATATCTTGGATGCATGCAAAAATTCACCCAACCCTGAAGGTCTTCTGCAGGATGACGAAGATGCTCTATTCAATATAAGCGATAGTGTTTTAAAAGATGTTACAATGTAAAGAACTACATATGTATGTAAATTATATATATTTATTATTTTTTGTTATTCAAAAGATATTACGTTTTTCTTTTTGATTGCGTACAAAGTGAAATTTTGGAATTAAATTGAGGATAAGATGAAAGTAGTATTGTTTTTTTTTTTTTTAATTAGGATAGATTCGAATATTGCCTTCCTTTAAAATACTTTTCTTCATATTCTTTCAATTTTAATTTGCCCGTAGCTGTATCTACTGATTTTTCCAAAGTACAATTTGTATTACAATCTTTAATTTCCTTTTCAAAGTTATTTTTTGTCTCCAACAAAAATTCAAGTTTCTTGACACGTTGTTCCAAATGGCTTATGGCGTTCAATTGTTTCGGTAGATTTTCTTCCAACCACTTCTTTACATAGCTTTCCATTTCATCTCTGTTGACAAGTTGGCTAGATAAATAGGATTCCTGCCAAAATGTTTGAATTTCCCTTTGAACTAGACTTTTATAATTGTCTTTACTTTGAACACTGGCATCCGAAGAAGATCTACTGAAATTAGCCATATCTCGAATAATTTCTTTGGTTACGGGAATGAGACGTTGTTGCTTTGTATTTCGCGTTATTTGAGAAAAGGTCATAATAAGTTATTATAGTTATAAAGAATAAGTTAAAAAAAAGCAATTTGGTAACGGAAAATTTTGAGAAAAGAAATATAAATGAGTTCCTAATCCAAGCCGACTATTACTGAAAATTTCTATCATGGCCAATTTGGTAGACCTTGGCATAGACAGATCTTACAGGTGCCTCAAGTCAAGAAGATTTTTAAATAAACCCAGTGGGTTAATCTTCAATTGCATAAATGCCTCCTATTTACAAGGAATCTACTAGTTTCGCAAATTTTTTCCATCAGTTATCGAATGGTCTGTTCCCGAATTGCAACTGAACCGAGGGATAACCGATTTCCCTTTACGAAACATGCAAAAAAGATGTAAATTCGGCGGGGCAGAACTTTTAATACCCTCCACCATTTGGAAGAAACTTGAATATTAAAAAAATCCGAAAACTACCAATTAAATGAAAACCATTATATGGGGGCTATGCGAAGAAGCGGACCTGCTTACGAAGTTTAAATACGAAATTTTAAACAATTCCAGTGAATAATGTCGCCAAAATCATTGAAATATCGAATATCGGGAGATACCGTTATATGGGGGATATACGAAAACATGAACCTGCATTCGAAATTTTTTGTCATAGGCTGTAGCATGGTACAATGATATCAAGATAGGGCTATGATACCATATGATTTTGATTTTTTTTATTTTCTTGGCTTAATATGTCATCTTTATTTGTTTATGTATGCGTTTTCTTTTCAATAACAAAAAATTTTTTAGAAAATATTCAAATTCGGATGTTTTCAAAATGTTTATTTCAACGTATGCATCGACAAAATCTAGAGTTTTTGTAGCGAAATAATCCCTTAGAGATATATAGTACATGATTTTGAAAAGAAGTGTTGACCTCTCATTCAGTTATCGCGGTTTTCAATTTTTTATTCAAAATAAATGCAACAAGTTGTTTGATTTTTTATTGTAGGTAGACCTCTATTCTTGCAATTTTTTCAAAGTAGAGCTAAAAAAAAAAAAAATAAATAACAACAATACCTTCTCTTCATTGTACCATGGGTAGTATCCATTTCGAAATTCAAATACTAAATTTGAAACAGTTCCGGTGAATAATGTCGCTTAAATCACCAAAATACCGAAAGTAGGAATGTTCCATTATATGGGGGCTATACGAAAACTAGGTCCACGTTTTCGTATAGCCCCCATATAATGGAACCATTTTCAATACCAAAAGTCCCGCAGACAATATACATTTGAGTAAAATTTTATCAACCTACTGCATTTCGTTCGGAAGCTACGGACGGACATCGCTAAATCGACATAGAATTTTATGCTAATCAATATTATATATATTCTTTGTGGGGTCTAAAATATATATTTCGAGGTGTTACAAACGGAATGACGAACTTATACTATGGTGGAGGGTATACAAAGTGGTAGAACAGCTTCGCAAGTATACAGAAATAAAATACAGGGGTTATGTCCACTTCCTGTCAGAATTTTTCAAGTGATATGCAACAAGTTGTTTTCATTTTTTAAGAATTTTTAAAGGGAAATTTGGTTGTCGTATTATTAAATAAATGCTGCAGTCTAAAATAAAATAAACTTTGAACCACAGTACACATGCGATTGTATTCATTCGATAACATAGTTTTATCGCCATTCAATCGACTTTTCAATTGTTTACAAAAATCGTCTTATACATCCCTATAATAGAGACATTTTCATTTGCAAATTTTTCCAATTGCAGGAGAGGGTGAGTTTGTGCGATTTCGCATCAAATTTTGTTATTAATTTTGTGAAATAACTTATTATCAAAAGTGATTGGAAACGAATTTGTGTAATATACCCTATAAACAAATTAAAAACATCAAAAGAACATTTTCTAAAAAGGTGCGTTGAATTGTCCAAAAAATGTATTGATTTTTCTCGATGATAGCTGCATACGTTGTTGCCGTTGACGTCGTCGTGAGTGTAAATTACACTTTTTCTTCGTGTCATTGTTGTATATACCTACCAAACATTGGAAGAAAAAAAGAAAAACAACAACAAAGTATATGTCCCAGAGGCATATATACTACTGCTTTGCAATGTATCTCGAATAGGTGGTACGGTATGTTACCACTCACAAGTGTATTTGTAATTTTGTTGTGTTATTCCCACTATGTGGTGCATCATCGTCAGCAGCATCAGCCGAGTGAATCATTTAAGTTCAAGTTGAATATCCACAGGAGACGGCGTTTTATGAAAGTACCAAAAACAAAAAAAGAAATTGGCTGTTCTATTCCATTGTCATCTAATTAATGGAATTGTGAATGAATTGCTGTTTTGCGCTGATAAGTGGCTTCGACAAAGCGTTGATAAGCCCCTAGAAATACTCCCCCAAAAAAGTGTATCTGTAACGTCAAAAATATGGTGGCTTTGTGTTTGTTGTTGTTGTTGATATGGAACAATGAATAATTTAATCTCCCGACATGTAATATTTATATTTGTTTTTGTCACTGTACTGTGTTTAATATTCTTTGTAGTTGTGTTGTGTAGATCGTAATAGGGAACTCATTAATTTATGATAAACATTTTGATATTGGATGGATATTTAGGTGCTTTGTTTGAAAAATGTATAGGTAAACGTTTTTAGCTTAACTATTTTCAGGTTTAGCAGTCTTCTAATTCTAACATCCTGAGACATAATTCTAACAGCAAAAATTCTAGACGAAGATATGAGCCTTTGAATCCGTAGAACCCATTCATACATTTAATTTTCATTGAAATGCTATTTTGCATTTAAAACACTTTACTTTGCGTAGCTGGTGTTGGTCTGTAAGCCAGTCACTTAAAAAATATAGCGGTACTGTCGGTTATACCTCAGAAGAGAAAATCTAAATCACTGGCCGAAGGCTTGCAAGTTAAAAAGGTATAAATCTTAGAATCCCCAAAATCTATAAATATATCATGTAATATGTCTATAATTCTAGCCTGGGACCCATACTTACAGGTCAAAATACACGCAGGTACGACCCCACCAAGAAAGTTCCTGTATCCAATAATCTGGTAAAAATCTCTTCCTCGGGAAAATGATTTGGAGAGCGGTAGAGAGTTGTTGTTGTTGTAGCAGTTTTACACGTTCTGTTGTTTTTTCCGACTAATCTGGTTCTTCCTCGATGTCCAGGTTTAGGAATTCTGCTACCTTTATGGGCTGTAGCCATAGATCCTCTGGACGGAGTTGGGTAGGTTTGGCAGGACAATTAAACAAGTGCAGCGTGTTGTGCGGGCCTGTATCGCACGCTGGGCAGGCGTTCCGCACATCCTCATCAATTCGTGCCCAATACGAATTGAGGCGGCTGCACCATCCTGAACGTAGTTGGGCCAAAACTACCCTGGTTTGCCTAGGCAGCCGACGTTCTTCAGCTGCAATGGATGGGGGGTGGACTCCGAGTATGGCATTCATACTGTAATTATTAACTACCTCTGTGACTGCATCAGTATGAATGCTATTCAGACCCGCTTGATAGGCTTCATGATCTAGAGGCTCTCTCTTATATCGCTGGACCTCTCTCTCTAGATCGTGCAGGTCCTTCCTGACACGCCTGGGTGGAGGAGTTCTATCCACCATATGGTGGTTAGGGTGACTCCCGCGATAACACCCAAGCAGGTACTGCAACGAAAGCATATGATTATGCTGACGTAAGGGAAGAACCTTCGTCTCCTCATGTAAGTGGTCCACAGGTGTCATGAGGAGGCACCCTGTTGCAGTTCTCAAGGCGGCATTCTGGCAGGTCTGAATACATTTCCACTGCGTTGCACTTGTATTCGCCGACCACACTGGAGCCGCATAGCTAACCACAGACCGACCTATCGCTTTATAAGAGGTCAACAAGGTTTCCTTATCCGCACCCCAAGTGCTGCCGGCTAGCGCCTTGAGGACCTTGTTCCTACTTTTCATTTTATCGCAAATAGCTGTGGCTTGCGCGGAAGACTTGAACATGCTATCGAATGTGACCCCAAGGATTTTGGGGTAGTTGGTGGTCGGAATTATATGCCCCTCGACCTGCACATTTAGCTGTGTTCTCATCTCCGCAGTCCATGTGGTAAATAGTGTGGCCGTCGATTTAGTGGCGGATATTTTCATATTCCTCGCGTGGAAGAAGGCGGCAAGCTCCGCGAGATAGTTATTCACCCTGACACATATGTCATCAATTACAGGACCCGACGCCATGATCGTACAATCATCCGCATAAGTTACGATCTCGATGCCGTCTGGAGGGCGCGGAATTCCGGAAAGGTAGAGGTTAAACAGTTCCGGAGATATCACCCCACCTTGGGGAACTCCCTGTTTCACTCTACGAGGCTTGGACTTCTTATTCCGGAATTCCACGTACGACTGGCGTCCACACATATAGTTGACTATCCAACGTTTCAAACTTGGCCGGAGGGTAGTGTTCTCAACGTCCTCGAACAGCGTGGCATGGTTGACCGTATCAAAGGCCTTTGATAGGTCAAGAGCCACCACTACTGTTCTGTGGCACGGCCTGTTCTGGTTGAGTCCTCGACTGATATGTGTGGATATGGCGTGCAATGCTGTTGTAGTGCTGTGTAGTGGACGGAAACCGTGTTGATGGTTAGCAACTGAATAGCTTCCTCTAATACTGGGGAGGAGTAAGGCCTCGAGAGTCTTTGCTACTGGCGACAAAAGCGAAATTGGCCTGTATGATTCGCCTTTGCTGGCATCCTTGCCAGGCTTCAGTAGCGGGACCACCCTGCCCATTTTCCAGGCTTCGGGAACTATGTGGGTGGCTAACGACAAGTTAAGGACTTTGGTTAAATACTCAACTCCCGGCGTATCCAGTTGCTTCAACATTACCATTGATATTCCGTCCGGGCCCAACGCTTTAGATGACTTAGCGTTTCGGATGACATTCGCAACATCACCCATCGTAAACTGTGGAGGTACATCCTCGGCGGGAAGAGCTCTTATACGACGTAGTACTCTTCGCCTCGCCCTATCACTCTCGGGGTGCTCGACAAATTGGCGGTTAAAACAGCCAGCGCACCTCTTCGGATCAGTCACAGTTACGTCGTTAAATGTGACTGCTGTCCTATCATCCTTTTTTCCAGGGTTCGAGAGTGACTTTACCGTTACCCACAGTTTACTCAAATCGGTTCCAATGTTGCAACACTTCAGATGGTCTAGCCACTTTTTCCGCTTATGCTCCTGTACCAACCGGTTGACTTCCACTGTCAGTTCACTGACTCTGGGATCAGTAGGGTTGGTACGTCGGAGCTCATCACGCTCATTCGCTAATCCCGCTGCCTCTGCTGGGAAATTTGGTCTTACTTCGGGTATTCGACCAGCAGGTATATAGCGAGCGGCTGCAGCTTTGATGATGTCCCGGAAAATCCTTTCAGCTACCCGAACATCAGAAGGATTGGGCAGTTCTCTGAAGCGAAGGTTGGTGAACTCTCTGAGAGAGTAGAGAGTTGTTACTATAGATGATATAGATGTGATAGAATCACATTCTGAGTCGATTTATGCATGTCCGTCCGTCCCCTCGCTGTCCATGTATATTTTTAAAGAAAGTACAGGTCACATTAGTTGTCCGATTAAGATGAAACTTTGCACAAAACATTTGTTTCGTCCGAGGACGAACCCTATTGAAATTGGTGATAATCGGTCAACATTTAGAAATAGCTCCCATATATATCTTCGTCCGATTTGTCTTTTATTGTACACAAAATGTGTAACATTAGCCCAAATAGAATGGAATTTGGCAAATTTAATAAATTAAGCCTAGAAACAAGCGTGTCAAATTTGTTGGAAATCGGTTCAGATATACCTAAAGCTCCCATATATATTCTTCATCCGATTTGTTAAATTCCTCACCCATAGCCGTAATATGCACTACTTAACAACGATATTGGGAGAAATATATCAAATACAGTCCCTCACATTCGTAATACGCACTCCACAACAATGATATTTGGTACCAGATATCTCAGAGAGCCCAGACATAGCTCTGTCAAATTTTATCGAGATCGGTTCAGATTTGTATGTAGCTCCCAGATGTATCTTTATCCGATTTTAAGTTTATTGAATTTTGGGACGTACGTTTCCATTTGGTGGAGCTAGGCTAAGATATATATTTTATAAAGTAATTCCCTCTGAAAGCAAATTATAACCGATACTCATTCAAATATGTTCAATAGTTGGTATGATCTACTTCATATAAAATCCCAATATAAATTATTTTGTCACGGGAGCTCTCTTAAATATGCCTAGTGGTGTAAGGTATCATATAGTCGGCCCCGCCCAACTATTGACCTTTTCTTACCGGTTTTTTATTAAAACAAACATGTATATTTTTAATCGATCATGGTAGCTTTGGATGAGGCAATAAATAGGTAGCACGCATTTTTGCTTATCTGAATCCATAAAAACCCAATAGTCTAGAAAACATATGTGTCAATATTTTGATCAGTCAAAGAACTATGACGTTTCGCTAAATATTAAAATTGATATTATCAAAGTTCTTTGTTTGTTCGTTAAGACTGATAGTGCTGACAATACAAATTAATAAGTCACAGTTTAGGGTACATTTTCAGAAGAAATGGTCCGATCTCTACCGTTTTTACAACAGATCTTGTGTTGATTGAAATATTGAGATGTGCCAAGTCTGAATGGAATTGGATTTTAATTTCGTCTTTTAAGAGCTTCACGAATATTTAAAAATTTGAAACTTTGTGGGGAGGTACCAGACCAGACCTTGGGTTAACAAAAATGTTGTGATGTGTGTAATTTGAAGAGAACCGGAAGCTTATTTCAGATTTTGCGATCATTTTGATTATTCAAAACTTTGACCCTTTGTGGGGGAGGTACTAGAAGGAATGGTCCGATA